TAGTCGATCTATAGTCTTGGGCCTATTTGCCTTCTTTTTGTGAAGTGATCATGTTTAACATAATAACATAATCAGTAGTTACATATTAAAAAATAGTATACATAATTATTATATTTCTTGTTGTGTCTCGAATATCCAATAATCACACAACTTTGCAAGTCCATAATGAACATTATTGTTCGGACACGTCTTTTTTGCTTCATTATTCCTCTTTCCATCAACTTCAACTCATTGTTGTCTCAGGGTTAGATTCCGGTGAAAAAAATAAGTTATTATGAGAATCATAAGAAGAGATCTACATCTTTGGATCAATCCTAATTGAATGTCAACATTAATGAGGTGCATCGAGATGTACCAGATCAACTCTCTTTTAAGCGCAATTCATGGGTGGACAGAAGATTAAAAGTAATCAATGGTTCAAATATCTTCTTACGTTTCTCAATATAACTTCACGTCTCACACAATTCTTCACATGTTGTCTCACACCATACCTATATTCAAACAAACACTTCTCATACTCTTTTTCATTGTGTCCCTTATGACATCATTGTTCAATGGAAAAATAAACTTATGCTACAATTCAAACCGAAAAATAAAGAAAAGATTTATAGTAATCATCCTTACTGGTTATAGCTTACAATTAAATTTAGTAAGTTAACCAAAGGGGCTTTTGGTCCACCAGATCCTTAACCTTTGAGCTTTCAGGGTTCAAAACTTATAAAAAGATGAAGAAAGTGTATGAGTTTATTTATTTTATTTGTTGTGTATAAGTATTAGGTGCTTGAAAAAAAATTAATAAGTTATGTACTGATACAAGGATGGATCTTTGAGGGGCTGAGCAGGGTCCCGTGCACCCATTCAACCGATTTTTGTAATTAAACTTTATTTTGGGATATTATAGGTGGAACCGCTAAAATTTGAACGGTGCTTAAGGATATAAGAAAATACAAGGAATATCAACAAAAAAAATCAAAATATTACCTTGAACTCAACCAAAAACTTAAAAAAATATCTCAAAATCAATCAGGAGGACATAAAAAAAAACTCGAAATCAACCAAAAACTTAAAGAATCTCTTCAAACTATAGAATTTGGTTAAAAACACATAAAGAAACTTTACAGACCTTTGATCCACCTTAAAGGTGCACCACTAAAAAAATGATGGGTTAGCCATGTCTGATAATCTTATGGTATTACTTGTGTTTCATAAATAATCACACAACTTCACGAGCCCAGAATGAACATCATTGCTTAGACGTGTCACTCTTCCTTTATTGTTCAATTTTTCCACCAACTTTAACTCAATATTGTCATATGTGAGAAGGAGAGTTAAAATGAGAAGCGTCAGAAGGGATATGAACCCTTGATCACTTTAAACCTCAAATCCACCAATAAATCACGTTTGATATAGGGATTGATCTGATGCATCCTGATGCATCTCATCCTAATGTGCATTTAAGGATTAAGATCCCTTCTTATGTTTATCAGCTTAACTCTCATTATTACCGAAACTCTATACAATACATATATTCAAATAAACATTTGTCCTTTTTTCTTATGCTATCCTTTATGTCATCATCATTCAATGGAAAAAGGATGTTCTCCTACAATTCAGACTGAAATATAAAGAAAAGATTTATAATAATCCTCATTCTTAGTTATAACTTACACTAAAATTTGAAAAACTAACTATAGGAGGTTTGAGAATCAAACTTTAAAAAAGAGATATGAATTTTTTTTATTAACATGAATATCCAACCAGTTATGCGAGCTGATTAATCTCAGGACGACCACCTTCTTTGCAGATAGCCCGGAGTCACCGCATTTGAACTTCCGTGGCCACAAGGGGATTTTTATTTCTCCTTGGATTTGAACCTGAGACCTCCTGATACTTTTGATCTTTGGAGTCAAGCTCAAACCAATCAGGCACCACCCTTGTGGTTAAAGTGATATGACATTATTTATTTAGATATAAGTATTATATACTTAACAAAAATTAATAAAATACGACCGATAATCTCTAATAAATGATTTGAAAACCACATTATAAATAGACTGTCATGAATAAATCAAGATGTGACCACAAAAACAAGAAGTCTAGTTGATGGACCACACTCATGGTGTCGTGATCCAACCATAAGTCCTGCTATACCTGCAATTGCAAATTGTGAACTCTATCTGCATAGACACACAAAGTTCATGCATGACTAGGTTGTTACAGATATTTTCATGTACTACCATTTTTGTGTGCCTCCATAAACTTAAGTGGTTATTGAGGGTTTTTCTTTTTCTACTTTGTTACAAATTTTATTATTGTATTTTTATTAATGATTATAATTTTTTAATGGGAAAATTACACCAAATAATGGAATCAACTTTCATCTGATTTTTTATTTTGGGGAACCAAAGTTTTAAAATTGTCATTTATGGGTCTCTATCAAACTTTTTGTTTATTTAAGGGTCTGGTTGGACCAATTGCCCTGTTAATGCTGACATCATTCATATCTTTTGCCAACTAAGATATTTCACGTCATATCAATTTTTTATTTTAAAACTAATATCCACGTTATATTAATTTTTTATTTTAAAACTAATATTCCATGTCATATTTAAAATTGTAAAATAATTATAGAAAAATAACTAAAATTCATTTTTTTTAATTATTGTAATAAAATCTATTTTTCATTCCAAATCTCGTTCAAAAAAAAAAATCAGACATCAAATTGAAGATTTTTTCAAAAAACATCAAAATTACCAAAATAAAAATTGTTTTTTACTAATACAATAAAAAATTAATTTAATAGAAAAAATTAATTGATGCAATAAAAAATAAATATCAATACTGAAAGTTGGTTTCCCAAAATATGAATTAGGTGAAAGTTAGTTCCATTTTGATGCAATTTTCCCTTTTATAATTTTGGTTCAATTTTTAGTCAAACTACCTAATATTTGTTATTAACATCGGTTGTAATCTTATCAATATTTTTGTTCAAAATCGTAATATTTTTATCTTAATTCATTATTTATATCAATTAATTTAATTATAATTAACGACTATTATTTAAGTAATATGATTATACTCTAATTGACAAAAGAAAAAATGGTCATATATATAACTGCATGGGAATGGGGCAGGGACTCCTATCCTCATCCACGTCCCCATTCCCATCCCCAGTGGAGAATATGTTCACATCCCCATCTCTCTCCAATGGGGAATCGGGAATTTTTCTCCCCCTTAATATAAGATACTTTAAACCAAATGTTTTAAACACCACTATCGATCGATAATTGTCTATGTTTAAATCTTACAATCTTCAAAATTTGTTTTTATAGATTAATAAATATTCATATATGAACAAAATCACAACATTATACGTAATTTGTTTGACAAAACGTTAATTAATAATAACGGTACTTAATATTCAGGTATGGGACATGGCAGTGACCATGTTACCCGGCCTTGTTCGCATCCCCAGTTTTTAACTTTCAAGGATCAACGTTCCCATTCCCGATTCCCATTTTTGCAGGAAATCCCATTTTCTAATAGTGTCTAATTCTACCATATCTAGTCCTAATGTGATAAAAATTAAAAAACCCTTCAAAATTAAAATCGATATTGTCAATATGTTGGCAATAATTATGAAGTTAAATGGAAGATAAAATAATACATATAATTTATTTTTTTCAAAAAATCAAATTATTAAACTATGACTCTAAATCTACTTCTCTGCATGCAAATTGAACCCCCAATAGTTTCATGCTTTCATTCTTACATACAAAAGATGCAAATGCCGGGGCCTTCAAGGTGCATTTATTGTAAGGAGAAAGAAACTTTGGGCTGTTTGTTTTTTTAATTTTTCACTTAATTATGTCTGAATCGGTCAGACATAAGAACTTTCAGATCGTTTGTTTTTTTTTTTCAAATTAAGAACTGAATTCGTTTATTTTCCTCTGAATTTTTAAGTGGTAACCCTAGCACTTAAAACCTCTTATTTCTATCGCCTCCTTACATTGCTTGTCTCAGTTTACAAAAACAAACAGTTTTACTGATTCAGATTTCAGACTTCAGACGTAAAAACAAACAGTCTGACTGATTCAGATTTTAGACTTCAGCACCACCTCTTAAAATTCAGAAGTGAATTCATACTTCATCACCTCTTAAAAAACAAACGCCACCTTCGTCTTAAGCTTTGGGTGCAAAAATATGTCCGATAGAGCTTTTTCAGCCCATGTTTTCACGCGTTTTTCAAGCCATGGTTTAACATGGTGTTCACAAAAATACTCTGTTTGGCAAGGCTTTTTGACCTCGACCAACGACCTTTTTATGCATCTCTACTCATATATAGACATGGTCGAAGCGTCCCAACCCAACCTAGGAACAAAAACAATAACAACCCAACCAAGACCGACAGGAACCATGAGTTACGGCTCAATAGTCGGGGACTTATTACAAGTTTTATGAAAACTCAAGACTCTGATAGGCTGGAAGACCCTTTATGCATAGAACTCACTTTTCAAGATTTTTTCAACTTCTAAAAAGTATATGTTTTCAAGTAAATGTAATATTTAAAGTATATTTTAATACTCAATATCAAAACTAATAATTATAAAAACTTGCGTTTGTTTTAAAAAATAAATAAAATTTGAAAAGCGGGTCAACCCACGATCAATTTGGTTTAGGATTATTGTTCCGAGACGAGACTAGCTGGCCCAATTTTGACATAACCGAATTAGAACGTCACACGTCACATGACCCATTTTTAGCGGTACATACATATTACATACTTACATAGGCACAGCTTCTCATTTTTGTATTTTTATATATAATTATCTACAAAATATAACCTGGTGGAGAATAATTCTTTTTAGTATGGTGATGTGATATGACATTTGGTTTGTGGGGTTTATGGACATGGTCCAGAATCGAACCTTTACCTAGCCATGGTTGAGGATAAGAAGTCTATAAATGGTCCACACTCTGATGAACATATATTCACCACCAAGAAATCAGGTGAAAAAAGATTCATTAAAGCAAAAGCAATTTGCTTCATTCCCTTTTCTATTTCAAAGCAAATGGGCACAGAAGGGTCTCCTCATGAACCTCTTCTTCTGCCCAATAAACAAGACCATACACCCTTCTCTTACATCTGTGGAACATCTTTTTTACTAAAATCTACCAAATGGGTTCTCAAATTTGCAATGTGGTTCATTTTCATTTCATGGGCTACTTTCTTGTTCTTAGTTCCATCAGACTCTGTCAATCAATTGTCTTCCAAATTGGTTCATGCTACTTCTGGTACTCTGTTTGCGGTCACAGGTGAGTGTTCATTTATAGAGCTGCAACCCCTTTTTCCATTCAGCAATTATGTATTGATTCCGTTTGATTTTAATATTGACTACACTTGGACCATTTAAATCTCCTAAGAAAAGATATTAGATTCCATCATATAATAATAATATATATATCACACGCAGATTGAAACCTCCTCTCTCTTCTTGATAGCTTTTTTGGAGAGTAAGAGTATCTACATATTCTAACATGGTATTAGAGCTAGATCTACCACTTTAGACCAACACCCTGGGGCAATCGATACTCATCTAGCCCCTCTGGACACTATCTATAGCTTTCGTTTGGAGGGGGCGTGTCGGAACCTCCATTCATTCCTCATCTAACGGTGTTCCGTCTTTTTTCTTTTGTAAAAATTACAGGAAGCATCTTTCTCATATACAGTGGTCCAGTACTTATGATTGCGTTTCTTGCTATAATTTACCTCAGGATATCTGGGGAAGAAGAGATTCAAGAGTAAGCAAGAACTGTTGAACGTTTTCTATCTTTAATTATGTTGTTCATCATTGCTTAATAATATAATGAATCAATGTTCTTGTAGGAAAAAGAAAAAATCTGCAAGTTTTCGGTTATGGACATTCCCGATCCTCATCGATGGACCTTTTGGGGTTGTTACTGCAGCCGAGTTGATCGGAATTCTGTTGTTTTCTGTGTATATCATTTGGGCTGTTACAGTTTATACCATTAAGAACATCAGTCTGTTGTCCTTATTTGAGATCACTGATGCTGGCAAAAGGTAGACCTTATGCATTATATATATAGGGTTAGGTTCAGGGGAAAACGTAAAAGGATGAAAAACTGAAAACACCCTAATAACCATTCATCTAAATGCATACATAGGTGCATAAAAACAAGCAAACATCTTCAATTAGTGGTATGCACATGTGCACATCATAGAGATGAATAGTTATTAGGATGTTCCTTGGTTTTTCATTTTTTTTGGGTTTCCTTGAACCTCCCTATATATATATATATATATGTACATATATAGACTTGGGATCATGTGAGACCAAGAGTTTTTCGTGAGTCCCATAAGACCAATTTTCAACCTTTGGATTAGATCTATAATCTGGCAATTTGAACATTCATAAATGTTACGAGACTTCTCAATAATCACAAAATTGTCACCTTGCAACTTTAGACTATTAGATTATTAGCTTATAAAGTTGATCAATGAACATAAATTGGTCTTACAGGTCTCACGAAAAACCCTTGGTCTCACGTGAACCCAACCCTATGCTTTACTGGATTTACTGATTATTTCTTTTTGACTCCATATACTCTCTTATAAGTTTTTGAAATACAGCTACTACTTAATCTCTGCTTTATCAATCCCGAATGGATTTGAACAAATTCAAATAGGTTTGAATGATTGCTTAATGTCTAGTTCCATTTATGCATATGTTGCTATTGATATCATGTTGATATCGCATTACGTGACGTTCTATTTGACAGAATGTTTTTGAAGAATTTAAATTTGGTGGAAGGATTTAGAATCTTTGATGTATTTGTTTAAAGGTTAAATAAGCTTTGCTCCTCTGGATGCTAGGCACTTCCATGGGATCTGAAATGGAATTGAATTTCATTAATTTATATAAAAAATTATAAATAATTAAATTTATCTTTTAGTAATTAACTATCACAAAACAAAACGAGTGTTTTTCACATATTTGATATGTTAATACAAACAAATTCTATGAAATCCTGTGAAATACCAAGTACCTAAATGGGAATTCTATATTTAACGATTATAGGATTTTACTGAAATCCCGGGATATAAAGATGCTATTTTTCTGGATATAATCACCTTATTTTAACTGAAAAACGGTTCCATGTATGTATCAAAAGAGTTTCTCAAATAACTTACATCTTTGTGAATTCTAGTTTCATGCAGGTCTGGCCCAAATTCAAGCAGACAATATGGCTATGTCACCCATATAATCTTTGATGTTGTAACTTTTCAGGAATCTTTTGTTGCTAGAACTAACAGGACTACGGTTCGGGTATATTGGATTGATCTGTATGGCATTTTTGTTTCTGCCCGTTGCAAGGGGATCCGTTCTTCTACGACTTATAGATATCCCTTTTGAGCATGCAACTCGGTATCATGTATGGTTGGGGCATCTTACCATGATGCTCTTCACTCTTCATGGTCTCTTTTATGTGATCGCGTGGGCAATAGAAGGTCGTTTGATACAGGAAGTGAGTTCTCTTATCCGTCTCTCATATATCTTCGTATGCATAAATGATGGGTTTCTTGAAACTATGTGTCTTGAAATCCAGTATTATCAAAGCAATTACGAATTGAACTGCTTAAAGAGAAGAATTAACCAACTTAACCAAAAGAATAGATTATGAAATGGCAAAAGGGTAGTCAAAATAAGGTGTGCTTTTTAAACACTTGATACGTTTACTCGATTTAGAACATTTGTGTAGTTATTTCCTTTGATTATAAAGCGTAGAATTTACTCTCGGAAATTTTTCATCAGGGGTTTAGAGTTCAGGTTCATTCAGAGCTTAGTTCTTATAAAATGGTACCACTACACTTAATGGGCTTCATGTGACTCATAATTTATTCAGTCAGGTATACATGATTTTTTGATAGTGGCTTAATTATATAGAAATTGGCTTATTCAGTAAGCTTCTAGGGTAGCTTTATGTAGAGAACCAAGTTTTTCTTCATTAAAAAACACACTCCTTCCATCTATGAAAAATCCATCCCAAACGATAACCTTCGCAATCCGTACAAACAGCTTTCTCATGATGAAAAACCAACCAAATATCCTTTTCAAGAAAGAGCTCTTTTAGTTGGTATTGCTAATCAACTATATGGTGTTACTTTTTGCAGCTTACAGCTTGGAAAAAAGTTGGTATTGCTAATCTTCCTGGAGTTATCAGCCTCGTAGCAGGTCTCTTGATGTGGGTGACATCACTTCCGCCTGTTAGAAGGATAAACTTTGAACTATTCTTCTACACTCATCAACTATACGTTGTTTTTGTTGTCTTCTTGGCAATGCACGTTGGAGATTTCGTTTTCAGTATAGCTGCTGCCGGAATATTTCTCTTCATGCTCGACCGCTTTCTTAGATTCTTTCAGTCACGAAAGACTGTCGACATACTCTCGGCTAAATGCCTTCCATCCGGGACTGTCGAACTCGTTATTTCAAAACCACAAGGTAGAGTATGCTACTTGATACATGTTTGCAGTCCCACATCAGCAATATTTGAACCATTTTATGCGCATCTCACACGTACCCCCTTTAGATTGGCTGAAATTTTATTTGAATGTAGGTTTGCAATACAATGCCCTTGGTTGGGTTTTCGTTCAAATTCGAGAATTATCGTGGCTACAGTGGCATCCTTTTAGTGTCTCATCTAGTCCTCTAGATGGTAGCAACCATCTTGCTATTCTCATAAAAGTCCTTGGAGATTGGACAGAGAAACTAAGGGGACATATCTCAAGTGTTCCCGAGGGTGAAACCGATCGTCTGCTGCAGTCAAATTTCACGCTGAAGGCGTCCGTTGAGGGGCCTTACGGGCATGAGTCGCCATACCACTTGACGTACATACGCTGCTTACTCCATTATTTAGCAGTTTCATGCAAAAAAAGGGAGTAGCAAATGAAGGAACAAATATATATAAATATATATTTAAGATGGTGCTATATAAGTTGCTAACTTGTTCATTTAGGAACGTGAATATTTTGAGAACCGATAAACCAAATATTCATAATGAATATATACATGAATATTCATGATGAATATCATGATATTATGACTATTTGGTTCTCATGATTCTCAAAATATTTCACGGGCTCAAATGAACCCTGCTCCCTTACATGTAAATCAAATATCTAGTTAATTAACTGATTAAGAACTATTGTTGCTGTCAGGTATGAAAACCTTATTCTAGTCGCGGGTGGCATCGGGATTTCACCGTTCTTGGCTATCTTGAGCGACATTCTTCACCGTATCCAGGAGTCTAAACCATGTCTGCCTAGAAATGTACTAATAGTTTGGGCAGTCAAAAAGTCTGATGAGCTTCCACTTCTCCAATCACTTGACTTGAACTCACTCTGCCCATACTTCTACAATACACTAAACCTTGAGATTCAAACGTATGTTACTCGAGAATCGGATCCCCCACTGGTACGTACACTACTCATTTTCCCAACTGTATTTTCGATTAGAGGCAGGTTCATTTGCGAATGCGCTACAGCAAAATTGACGCTTGGAAGTTAGAATGTCTAAGCACCCTATAAAACATCCTATCTAAAAGTGTTACAATAGGTATATTAGACGTTATTTGAACGTTGAAATAAGTTTTTTAAGACACTTTTAAAATAAAATGTTGTATTAGCTATTTTATAGGACAGTTCTGTATTTTTACAAGACACTTGTGTTTATATGACACTTTTTCAAATTGTGTTGTATAAAATAGCTAACATGACATTTTATTTTATAAATGTCCTGAAAAACTTACTGAAACGCCTAAAAGCGTCTATAAACCTATTGTAATGTTTTTAGATCGGACGTTTTTTTAGTTTAGGACGTTCAGACATTTTAGGCGACCTATAAAACCGATTTTGTTGTAGTGGAACCGTAAATATTTTGAGAATCGTGATAACCTACTATATATGATGAATGTCATGAATGAATATTCATAATGAATAGTATTCCTGAATAGTTATATTCATTATGAATAGTAAGAACTTTTCCCTTTCCGGTTAATATCCCAATTTCTAATCTTCAAGTTCCAACTTGTTACTACAGGAAGAGGGTAAAATACCCAAATATGAGAGCACTAGTGTGTTTCCTGCTCCCAGCCATGGTGGCATGTCTAGTTTGGTTGGAACTGGAAATATCATCTGGTCTGGAGCTTATGTGGTGTTATCTACAATTGGTTTGGTAGTTTCCGTGGCTCTGTTAGACATCTTTTACATCAATCCTTACAACATAATGGATTGGTGGTACAAAGGACTCCTATTTATCATATGCATGGCTGCAAGTGTTGTTCTCTTTGGAGGCTTCGTGATCGGTCTATGGCATCTTTGGGATACAAAAGCTTCAGTCCACAAGAACTCCGAGGGCCAAAAGTATCTTGGTGGCTTGCAGAACGACGAGGCTAATGTTTACAAGAACGCTTCACGGGAAGATTTCGTCAATATCATTAAATATGGACAAAGACCAGACTTCAAAGGTATTTTAACCAAGAGATATAACCATGGTTATCGCCTAGATTTGGATATTTCTACTCTGATGTATGTTTGGAACCCCCATCTCTACACCACATGCTCTTTTTGGAGAGTAATCTGATGGGTTTCTACATACTTCACAAGATATGAGAGCCATTGGGACTCGGCACTTGGGGACATGTGTACCCATCTAGCCTCCATCAGAAGGGGCGTATTAGAGTCGCACATAGGCTAGACATGCACACTTCAACTTCAATATATGATTGGAACCCTTTTCTTTCCTCTAGCTCTTTTGAAGAGTAATCTGATGGGGTTTCCCATATCTCACCAGAGTCTTTAACGCTTCCTTTCTTTTTGGATATAGAAATCTTTGGAAGCATGGCAGAGCGATGGGGGAACGTGGATATTGGGGTGATGGTCTGTGGGCCAACCGCACTTCAGACAAGCATCGCTAAAGAGTGCAGATCGAAGAGTTTCGGAAGGATGAGCAATGAGCCCATCTTCCATTTCAACAGCCACACTTTCGATCTGTAGGTACTATGAACAAAATGCTTGCTACAGAAAATATATGTATGTATGTATGTATGTGATGCATATATATGGCTTAATTTGGGTGCAGAAATGACCAAATTTGAGAGCAATAATGTACAAATTGAGATACAAACTTGTAAGATTATTACTCTCAAATTGGTCTGTTATGTGGATATGAAAGGGAGATAGTAGCATCTTAGAAGGAATAGGATCCATAAATGGTGGTAAGGTGCTTCTTCTTTAGCCATTTATAATGTAAATGCTGATGCAAATATATGAATATAGTATATATTTTCCTTTTTACCTCTAAAACATATGTAAAGATGAAACTTCCTTTTAAAAACGATGACAATATGGTGTATTTAAAAATGTCTCTGTCTAATATAAGAATATCTCAAAATTTGTAAAAGAACCTGCATTTAAAAAAGAGAGATCGGTCTCGAAAAAAGAGAGGTTGTTCTATAAAGACTCTATCGCGCGCTACTTTTTACAGTGTAAATTGATTGATTATTTCACCTAAGGGAGTTAACGATTCAAGTATTTAACAAGCTATTCGAGTTTAGTAATTCTCAAGTTAGAGTCGATCTTGAACACAAGAAAAAATTCGTTTAACTTAACGACTTGATCTTCGTAACACCAAATGTTCAGCTCAGCGTGTTTGAGAAGTTGTAACAATAAATATAACCTAATGTTGTAATCTTGAAACCTTTTTTACCAAAGAAAGGAAAGGAAAAAAACCGCATACTCTCGAAACCTTGTTTAGGAGAAAAAGAAAAGGAAAGTTAATGAAAATAATAATAAGTTTTATTCCAAAACTTTCCTCCCAGATATGGGAGAAGAATTAAAACCCTTTAAAATTATTAAAATTACAATACTATTCATTCTTTCATTAAAGGATGTACATACTTTTAGGGGTATATTAGTAAAAACATCTTTCTCCTCTTCAAAAATACGGAAAATGATTTTCTTTTATTTTTTTCCCTTTGTTTCGAGAACACAAATAAAAATATTATTTTTCGTTCATTTTTTCTCTTACCTTTCTTTTTCTTCCATTTGTTTTCTTTTTCCCCCTCCAAATTCAAGAACACAACGTAAATTAATTCATTCTCAATTAAATAAATTTAAAATATTGTTTATCGGTTCAGTTTATTGATTCATTTGTTCGCTTAGTTCTGGATTTTTTTTCTAACCCAAAATTAAAGCAAATTTAAAATATAACAATTTAAATAAATGTACAATCAACGAAATATCAAATCAAAACCAACCAAACCAACATATGTATCAAACATATCAATTAATTCGATTAGTTGGATCGTACCAAATATACAAACTTAATTGGTACACAATAGTTAATGTTGTTAATTACACCGCTATAGCAGTGTTATTGTGGTTAGCGATTATGGGAAAAACAGTGTTGGTCAAATAACGGTCCCGTGATTACCGGCACAATTGGCCGCTAAATGACCGCATTTGGAATGCAAAAAAACTGAAGCATAACCGCTATTTATAGATAGGTTGTTTTGGTGTTAAAAAAATTTGTGGGTTTTTATTTAGGACTTGTATTCGAATTTTATTTTAGTCCAACAATATCAAGGCTTCATTATTCTTATTTTTTAGACTAGGACACCAATTATTTTTGTTTTTTTATAACTTGGACACCATTATTCTTATTTTTTGAATTTGGACACCATCAGTCTGACCTCTTGATTTGAATATGAGTATTCATATTGTTCAGTTATTTTTATTTGGACTTGGATGTCATTATTTCTTATATATTTTTTATTGAATACGTAAAATAGATTGAGTTAAGTGCTGTTCTTTGAACAATATTGTCCGGATGATTTGAAACAAAAGCTTGAGAAGGAATTCTCAGAGCTCAAACAGGGATTCATGTCGGTGATTGAATATGAAACAGAGTTCAATCGGAAGCTTCAGTTTGCCCAACGGTTCGTACCAAGTGAAAAGGACAAGATTAATCATTTCGTCAAYGGTCTTCGACGGAATATTCRMGATTTCGTCACCAATCGCGACGTACCATCATTTACCAAAGCAGTTAAGTATGCAAGGAAACGGGAGCATGACTTGTTGTGAGATATAGCAGAGAGACAATCATTCCTCTATAAACAGTAACATTTACAGACTTTCTGTTTGGATCCTTGTTCAGTGAGAGAGGAGGAGCCATCGGAGTCTTCATAGATGAGCTGTTGGATTGAAACTCTTCCCATGTCGTTCTATCCCTAGAATTAGGATCCATTGATCGATATGTGGCGTTCCACCAAGTGAGTGCACGATCGGTAAATGTCGCTGTAGCATAACATACTTTATCCTCTTCCTGTACGTAAACAATCCTGAATACTTTTTCAGTGTTTTCGACCCATTGTATTGCAAGTACTGGGTCCGTCTGTCCCGAGAACTCTGTAGCGCCACTACTTCTAAATGTTTTAAATGAAGGTCGGTCCGATTTTGGTTTGGGTACGTCTTCATTAACAGGCTTCGGTCCTTGGACAACCGGATTCTGAGCATTAACTGAAGTTTGCACTTCAGATAACTTTCTCTCAAACTCTATTCTTTGTTCTCGTAGAGCAGCCCGTGTTTGATCATTCATTATTTTCAATAACCTCTCAGTACGAGGTGATAGTTGGGCTTAATCATCATTGTCAACATTTTCTTGGACATTCCCTTCAAGATTGAGGTTGTCATTCACAATTTCTTGAGTAACCGGCGCGTTGTTAGATGCATCATGATCAGACATCACACTGGAATTATAATACATATAGAAGTCAACTAATATTCTATCCCTTGTAACCCAACAAATCCTAGGTCTCTCCTATTGATCTATATCCCATATAATCATAACCTAGTCACTATACAATGCCAATACCTAAGTTTGAGTCCGAATATCATTAATGATATCTAGTTCACTCAAACCACAACTCTGATACCATATCTGTAACATCACGCTTGAGCAAACCCCATATTACCAATTCCTATAAAATCTCCAATAAAATATAATTTACTGATTATTAGGACCAAAATTGATCCTAAATTATTCCAAAAGTTTTGTCAAAGCAATCGGGGCCAAGGATGGAAAATCTGATAATGCTGCTAAAAAAAAAAAACTAAGTCTGGAGGAAGACCAGAGGCAATGGATGGTCCAGAGGCAGGCAATGGACCAGAGGCTGCTGAAATGGCCAAGTCTGGAAGAAGACCAGAGGCAATGAATTGGTCCAGAGGCAGGCAATGGANAATGAATTGGTCCAGAGGCAGGCAATGGACCAGAGGCTGCTGAAATGGCTAAGTCTGGAAAAAGACCAGAGCAAGGCTATGAAGGACCAGAGGCAATGGTTGGACCAGAGGCAATGGTTGGACCAGAAGCAATGGATGAACCAGAAGCAATGGTTGGACCAGAGGCAATGGTTGGACTAGAGGCAATGGTTGGACCAGAGGCAATGGATGACCAGAGGTCATGCAATGGTCCAGAGATGATGCAATGGTCCAGAGCCCATGCAATGGTCCAAAGGCTAACACTTTGAAACACACAAATCTGGGCATAACATTAATTAACCTCAAAATATGTGATATTAATTTCTAGAAAAACCTCGAAATATCCGTTCTATTTTAGTGATAAAACCACCCAAAACACAATTCCAAACCGGATATAACAGATTTTTACTTACAACCCGAATTAAGTAGCCAAAAGAATACGGGACAAGACTATAAATATAAGCTACTATTTACCCAAAAGCAAGATCGATAWCTTCAAGTTCTCCGATAAATCTTCAAGTCAAACAACGGGTTCTTTCTTTTTGTCCGTCTTCTTTCCTGAGAGAGGTTGCCACTTAAATGGTAAGCCAACGCTTAGTGAGTTAAATAGTTAAATATTACATATCAATATCGCACATGTTTGTAAACATACATAATAAACTCTTATTAATAAAAGAGTTCAAGACATCATCCAGATGCAAACCGAGACTTACAAGAAACCGAGTGAACAATTACATACCGGATGCTAAGATCATAGGATTCCATATTCAAATCACCATAATATACCATATCATTGATGCTCAATACAACAAGGATACATGATCAACAACCAAATATATTCAGCAACGTTAGAATACCAATAAATATCAAGAACCAAGAGATCGAATCGGTATACATAACGAAGATAGTGCATCACCCCGTCCTTCACCTTCAGGGCTTATGCCAAAGTCCGAGTCAGAATCATACATTACGGGAAACCTCGCACTGCCCGCCTTCCTCTATCGGGTATGTGCCAAGGTTCCCTACTCATTGCTCTTCCTCCTCTTCGAGCAATGAGTATTCACAACCGCAGAAAGTCTCACCCGTCCAACCCGGGATCTTGACTTCGCCATAAACTTCCGGTGTACCACACGAAGTAGTACCCGTACTATGGCATACGATTCAAGGAACAAAACAACGATTCCGAATTCAGAAAGTAAACCGATGTACCGAGATAGTAATAAGGAATCGACTCAAGAGACGGAATCAAAGACAAATCAAGATCGTGTGACTCCATTCAAGACCAAAAACATTCATTTGAAAATATATATGTTCAAATCAATATGTAACAATTAACTATATAACTCACCGGGTAACCGTATAATACCGAAAAGCTCCGAATTGAGCTTACAAAGCAAGTTCAATCTAGATTGCTTCCAAAGTATCAAAATATGTCTTAATTACCCCCTGGAGTAAATGTACAAAATCTCATAAGCAATCAATATAAGAAACTCATGATATATACATATCCTATTTGAACATTTTACCTAAATTTCTATGTACAGCTGCTGCATGCAGAACTATTTTACCCATTTTAAGCTCGAATTCATGTCTTGATCATAAAATAAGAAATAAACTAGACTCAAATATCTAACTAAGGAAATTGGCCTCACCATATTTGGATTTGTTTACGATTTTATACAGATTTTCAAAGTCTGCACACTTTCAATGCATTCAAAAGTCGAAATTCTCAATTTCATATATTTTTCTCAAACCATTTCGATTCCAAATCATTCCAACTTCTGAATCTCAACTTAATATAACATATTTGACATAAACAACCAAAATCCAACCTTTATTTTATCATTTATATTATCTCCCAAATCATTGACTTAATCNATAAACAACCAAAATCCAACCTTTATTTTATCATTTATATTATCTCCCAAATCATTGACTTAATCAAGTCAAAGTTCATATGATGAACTTGCATAAATCTTGATAATCTCTTGAATCTAATGACCATTTCAAGCCAAAAACACTAAAATGCACTCATTTTATACA